ATTCACTTTTTTGATACATACATGTACATGTTTCGGAAGGAGGAAACATATGCTAGGACCTAATAGTTTGTTTTTTCTTCCATGTTAAGCTATATTGTAGGTACATACACAAATATATATTTATAAATCTGTGCCTCATGTGTATTCATTAATACTCTTTGTTTTTGTACCTAATAGTATGAACATCATCCTCGATATCCGGGGGTTACGCTCACTTTCACTCTCTGCACCCCTGGAATACCCTGGTATGTCAGAGCAAAATTGAAGGCACCAAGATAGCTGTTTGATTGGTCTCAGGTGAAAAAAACTGACCAATCGCTAGGCTTCTACATACCTGTTCTTTGAAGATTCTTTTGATGTATATCAAAGGATCGAACTAGTCTTCTTGTCTCATCAACAAGGTGGTACACACTGAGCCTTCAATTTTGCCACGACATATTCCAGGGGTGTAGAGATCTAGAGAGTGAAAGTGAGCGTAACCCCTGGATATCGAGGATGTATAAACATGTACCTGATGTGATATCCCAGGGTTATCGGAGATTGAAAAATTAGGGGTGTCACAATACGACAAGAGTATATCACAATATATAGTAATACAGAATGAATGTATTGTGATATGCATCCCGATATATTGTCATAGGAAGGATGTGCTCAATTTTATAATAAGTTGTTGTCAAAATGTTATCAAACTTAATCATATATAAAATAGATTACATAGATTTAAGATTTTTGTCAAACCAACCATCGATTACAAAATGCTTATTTGCATATTAGAAATTATCTGTTAGAATTTATAGTAATTTGCAAAATTAAAACACCAAGCAGATACACATAAAAATATGCTTTTGAAAAATATTGTGATTCAGCAATATTTTATCTCTGTATTGTGGTACGAACAATATACCCGTCTATTGCGCCATGTGATATATCTGTTTTCCTATAAATTGTGACAGCCCTAGTGAAAATGAGTGTAACCCCAGGAGTATCGAGGTTGCCCAATCATATACAAAGATTCCTCAGTGAAAAGTATAAACACCATGTACAAACTTGCCCATGATTCAATCGACATTAAATTAATTCACCCCTGAAGTCACATTTGAACTCCTCCAATTCAAAGGTTGGAATAGTTCCTTATGAAATTTCAGGGTTGAAAGAGTTAAGATCAGGACTTAAAAAACATTTTCTACATATTCCACCCAACAGAATCACCCCTTTAAATGATGTTACTTATATATCTTCTTCTAAAAACACCTTTAAGCACCCCCCCCCCCCTCAGTTATCCCTAATTTGATTTCTCTTTTAGCCCATATGACTGACTTGGCATCCTTCAGGTAGAGTTAATGACTTTAAAGAACACAATCCAGACTGACCTGTTTCCAATGATCAAATGCAGGAGCTGTGCGCATGCCTGTTGGATTTGTTCCAAGGGGCCCCTAAAACAGCCGGACTGGTTTATATAGCTGTTTGTTAGATAGGGCCAATTGCAGGAAAAACACAACACACACACTCGTTGCAAAAATGATACCATGTACCAGGTACATATATATGATTCCATTTTTAAGCAGAATTAATTATATGGCCCCTTGGCCTCTGCAGTCGAAAATTTTGACATTTGACAGAACTTAATATGTCTATTGTTATGTACGGGGAACTCACATACATATATATATATATGATAAAACATTATATAATGCAGTGCGTGTGGATCTAGCTAGACATCAATGTTATTGTGACCTAAACTTAATTTACATGCCTCCCTGTACCTGACGCTGTACATGTGGATACATACCTTTATTATCTAAATAATTGTAAATGATAAATTGGCTACGTCGTCGTAAAATGGCCATGACCTCAAAATGTAGCACTTGTTATACTGTCACCATTCAATCATGTATTTTGGTTATGATGCACAAAGGCATTTATGTTTATTGCTAAATAAAGATATATGTATATCAATATTTGTATTATTTGTCAGGATAATGGAACGTATCTAGATTCAAATAAATAACATGCTTTATTTATAACAATTAAGTGACCATGACTTTTATTCCATGGCCCTGAGCTGAAAATTAATTTGAGGTACTTGCATGTTTACTGAACATGCAGTTATAATGGCAGTCAATATTTCAGTGGGATTGACAAATGACCATTTGGTGAAGTTCATCCCTGAAATCCAAGGGTTTTGTTACTAGTACACATCCTGTATATCGGGAAAACTTCACAACAGTGTAACTTTCGCCAAAAATGGGGAAAGTTTCCCAGTATACAGTCTTTAGATCTCTGCACCCCTAAAACATGTCTTTCCTCAATATCCAGGGGTCACGCTCACTTTCGTTCTCTACACCCCTGGAATATGTCATAACAAAATCTGATCACTTTCGCTCTCTACACACCTGGAATATGTCATAACAAAACCGCTCACTTTCGCTCTCTACACCCCTGGAATATGTCATAGCAAAATTGAAGGCTCAGTGTGCAACACCTTGTGGATGAGACAGAAGACTAGTTTGATCCTTTGATGTACATCAAAAGAATCTCGTGGCCATGGTAAAACTTACTGGCTTTAAAATTTGGTGTTGCTCCTCTGTAATCTTCAAAGGACAAGGATCAGCCTAGTGATTGGTCATTTTTTTTTACCTTACACCAATCAAATAGCTAGCTGCATTCCTTCATATTTGCTATGACATATTCCAGGGGTGTAGAAAGCGAAAGTGAGCGTAACCCCTGGATATCGAGGATGGAAACATGCCATGACAAACTTAAAGGCCCTTTACACAACATCTAGCGGAAGATACAAGTAGATTAGGCTGTTTGATGATTATCAAAATAAATCATGTGGCAGCATAATGGTAATATCATGAGGCTCTAAAGTTGGTTGTAGCTCCTTTATATAATCTCAAAGGACAAGTATCAGTGATTGGTAAGGTTTTCATACACTGAAATAAATAGCTTCTTGAATTGTGAGCCTTCAATTTTGTCATGACACATTCCAGCAGAAAATTAAAAGATACCAGGATATGTGTGTTTCGAGAGTGGAACCCTCGATTTTGAAGTTGGGTAAAGTTCTAACTTATGTTATATTATAACAGGAAAGAGACAACTGACTTCCACCAGGGGTTAAACAAGTGGCTCTCAGCTTCCCAGTCACACAGATACAGATACACAGATTTATTCTGACTGTCAGCTCATAACTCAAGGGAAATCCCCTCTAGCCAGAAGAAGAGCATGATCATTGTGTATAATTAAAATCTGCATAAATTACATCACATATCCTTTGTATATAATATAAAGCAAGTGCTCCACTCTGTGTTAGAAGGCCTTAGAGACTCCTCAATTTACATACATCTCTCCAGGCCATACTTGGGATTTCTGGTACTTGACCTCCTCCAGTCCATGTACATACCAAATGAGAGACAAACATCCTTAAGTTTATGTATGTAAGTGTGACAACACGACAACAAAACAATGCAAGTTATTATGTGCTTTCAAACAATGACGTTTTCAAACTGTACGCCACTTTTAAATGATTGCTGAACATAACATGTAAACTGTTTACCGGAGTTTCCTCAGGCCCTGACACCAACCATTTTGACAGGTAGAATGAATAATTGATTACTAAACATTACAAACAAACTGTTTACTGTAAACTAAAACCTTCGAGTAATTCCATTAATTAACTCCTGATCATTTACCCCTGATCATGAAGACACATTGAAATCTTCCAACTCAAAGGTTGGAATATTTCATTATGAAATTTCAGGGGTCAATGAGTTAATGTCTTGTTGTAGATGATACTTTATTACGATGGAACTGGATCCCGGACTGGGTTGAGGGTCAGGGAATAAGTACAATCTAGCTGGTAGAGTGTCTATCTAGACTTTGGAAGGTCCTGATCTTCGATACTCCAGAGGCTACATATACGCACACTCTTGCTCCCTGCACCCTGGAATATGTCATACCGAGATTGAAGGCACGTACTAAGATAGCTGTCGATTTTTACCGTTATGCAACCACAGGATTCTTTTGATGTACAACTAGTCTTCTTATGTCATCAACAATCTGGCAAACATTGAGCCTTCAATTTTGCTATGACATATTCCAGGGGTGCAGAGAGCGTAAGCGAACACTACTAACCCCTGATGAAAGGTTCTGGGTTCAAACCCCGGTCTGGCCATGCATTTTGTCTACTAGCTCCTACTCCTATTTGGTGCCTGTGACCAACCCTTGTTTCAAGTACTTGATGAATGCTTTACAAGGGGATACCCAAACTTGGGTTAACCCTTTCAACACTGTAGACCATAATGGACTCATCCATATCATTACATGGTAGAGTCTACTAAAGTTACATAGGGGTGAAAGGGTAAAGGTGTCTTCGGGGGGGGGGNGAGGGAGGGATGTAGCAGAACTTGACAGGGTCGATCGTGAGTCTAGAGTTCAGAAGTTCCTAGGTTCGAACCCCAGTCTGGCAGTGCATTTTTCCACTCCTTCTAAAATTACTATTAATTTTAATTACAAAGTCTTTTTGATTTTTAAGTGAAATCCTGCATGAATGGCTTATAATAATCGTTGTGAAATTTAAAAGTCTATTAAAATGCTATAAACAATCAGTATAGATCCGATCTGGGCATCCTGCCGTCAAAATATGCAACTTTATACCATATATGGCGTTAGAGTAAACCTCGGTCTAGCTGTACAAAGGTGAGGTATGATGAGTGTCAATATTGCAAGCAGTGTTACTCAATTCGTCACGGTTGAAGCTTGTTTCAATGGGGTATATATTCTAAAGACTACATCTACCATGAGCATATTATGTGCAGGTGAAAATCATTAGGATACCACTTCAAACCCCCTACCTGCATACAAAGACAATCGGTATTGGTGTCTCGTATGATAGCAAGTTGACTCATACTTACTAAAAGGAAACACACCTTTGAAAGCTGTCCAATCACGGATTTCGTTTACTTTCACTCAAATAAATATGACTGTCTGTTTCTACTTACCTTCAAATCAAATCAGTCGATGGGTGTAGGCGGTCACGATTTCAGACTCTGTCTGTGAACTGGAAAATCCACTCTACACATGAATCGTGTTTATCACTTTAAAACAGGAAGTAGATATCGACACTCATTTTTTACTCTCTAACCCAAATACAACAAGGGAGATAACTCATACAGAATGGCACTATGTAATGGTAAATTATTTATTAAATCAAGTAAAACATAATGACTTAAAATTCATCTTAATATATCGAGTGAATGACTATCAACCAAGGAATTATTGCTTCCGTATCTAATTATTTGTCATTTATCAAATTTCTTTTCATTTTTTAGTCTATCAAAATAATTTGTTCACATTTTTATATGGTAGAGAAATATTTCCAATTGAATGATAACAAACACCTCGGAAATATCTTCCTGTTGAATAGAAGTGTTTAGATAATTAATGCTATACATGTACATTAATATATTGTTATGTGTTAAAATGTGTAGGGAGACAATGTAGAATTAACAGCTAATGTCATTTAAGGACGTGCCTCCATGTGTGATGTGAAAGCGTGCATGTGTGTATGTGTGCTTGAGACAGGGTATGCTGGAGCAGTTGTCTCCTTGTGATAGCGCGGATCTGATGCCGATTTTTTTTTAGTTCTATCTCACTGAAAGACCATGCCGAAGGCCCCCAGCACAGCATTCCGCCCGGTCACATTATCCTGACAACAGGCCGGTGAACCAGTTGTTGCCACTCCCCTTAATGCTGCATGAACGTTAATAAAATTAAATAAATTAAAAAAAAGCAATGTCACATCCTTCACCGCAGTATATTAGAATCTACCAATAATTTTCCTCTTTTTGCACTGTCGATCAAATCAAAGGACAATGATTAATTGATATTGGGATATTATCTTTTTTCTTCTTTCTAAACAACTTTCTTCATCCTAATGTCCCCCTTGACAATGCCTCACTTTTGGCCTTTAGTTGAGCGTTCGCCCCTGTGAGGAAGGCTTTGGGTTCTGTGCCCTGGCCGAGACATACCAGAGTCTGTGAAAATGGTAGTTTCTACTTCTGTTTAACGCTCAGCAATTCAGGAGTGGGACGACTGGTTCGCCCGTTGTCAGTATAACGTGACCGGGTGTCCTGCTGGGTGTCTTCGGCAATATGTTTCAGTGAGGTAGTACTATAAAGTTGGTATCAGTTCCGGGCTATCACAAGGAGACAAACACGAACATATCGCAGCCTCACAAAACACACACGCATACACTACACGCGTGCATCTTGCACACAAGGGAGACCGTCCTTAAATGACCATAGCTGTTGATAGGACGTTAAACAATACTAAACTAAACTAAACCAAACCAATCACTCAGGAGTCTGCTCAACTTTCTCCCTATTGCATGTTTGCGGAAACGTATCTCTCACTTATGCGTGTTTATGAGGAAGACTATTATAACGAGTTTGCGGTAAAGGCCCGGCAAATATATCTTTGTAACAAGTGTGTGGGGAGTTCATCTCACACCGAGCCGTTTTCTGAAGAACGTCTGTGGGAAACGCGTCTTTAATGCAGTCGTGTATGTTAGAAAAGTCAAGTATCTTCCTATAACAAGTTTGTGGGGAACATAATCTCACAATCAGCCGTGTTTGTGAGAAAAGTCAAGTATTTCTGTTACTTTGTGGGGAGTCCACATCTCATTCAGCCGTGTATGTGCAGACAGTCAAGTACCCTTTGTAACAATTGTTCAGAGAACTTATTTATTATTTAGCCGTATTTTTTTTTAGAAAGTTTCAGCATCTCTTTGAACAAGAGAATAGGAAACACTTCTCAGTCTTTTTTGTAAGGAAATTTATGCATCTTGTCGTAACAAGTTTGTAAAAACGCGTCTCTAATTCCACCGTTTTTGTGAGAAAAGTCAACTGCTTCCCCATGACAAGTTTGTGGGAACATATCTCTCATTGAGTCGCGTATTTTTTTAGAAATTCAAAGTAGCTCTACCACAAGGGTTGGGAAAACACGTCTCTGTTTTGTTTGCGCAGAAAGACAAGTATCTCTTTTGTAACACGTGTGTGAAGAACTCTTCTCTTATTTAGCCGGGTGTTAACCATCTCTTTGTAACAAGAGAATGGGGCACTCGTCTCAGTTTTGTTTGTAAGAAAAGTCAAATATCTCTTTGTAACTAGTTTGTGGGCAACGCGTCTCTTATTCAACCTTGTTTGTGAGAAAAGTCAACACACATCTCACTCAGCCTAGTTTGCGAGTAAGGCAAATTATTTCTTTGAAACAAGTGTGTGAGTAAACCACATTTTACTCAAGTATCTCTTTGTTACCAGTCTGTAAGCAACACGTCTCCAATTCAACCATGTTTGTCTGTACCATTCCACATAACGGTAGTGATATTTCTATTCGACGTGTTCCGTTAATAACAACATTGTGCAACTAAACATGATGCGATTCCCTACAATGAACGTTTAGGAGTTGGTTCCTCACTAAACATATATGCGCGATAATAAAAATCCTCCTTTCCCTCACCCTCTATCTATCTCGCACCCATACATTCCCTCTCTAGCTCTCTCCCATCCTACTTTCTCTCTTATCCGTTTCCTACCCTCTCACAATTTCTCTTCCTGCATCTCTCTCTCTCATTCCTACTTCTTTTCTCTCTCTCATCTCACTTCTTCTATCCTACCCCCTCCTTTCTCTCATCCTGACAACATCTCCACTCTCTCACCCATTACTCTCTCTCGAAATCAATTTCACATATTTGAGGCCAATTTGGACTTAGGGGACCTTTGATAACACGTTAGTACATATTAATACTAGTGTGTTTGAAATGTAAACAGTCTGAACAGAGAAAATACGAGTAAAATCATACTACTATATAACAAATAAAATGGATTCTGCTAGATATACAATTTTTCACGATATGTTATTATTCTACTGCAATATTTTAACTTGCAGTCAATTTGTGGACGCGCTTTTGAATGTGTTTTAAATATTAATATTTTTCTTTTCTTTAAATCCGAGAAGTAACACATTGATAAATAATTATATTTTGGTTTAATTCTTGGGTAGGTACATGGTGGGTAACTCTGGATTTGTTTCATTTTACACCAGGTAGACTAGTTACAGCTAATCCCTCCCCACTACCGCTACTAATCCCTGTAATTATCTCTACCGTCACGAATAATACTCAGGTGTACGATGAACCGACTTCCCCTAAAATACAAAATATTATTGATGAAGATTGTTCGTCATAAAACAGTTGTAGCACAGGGTTCTGTAGCAGGATACCTACCTCCCCTATACTACATAGCTATCACAAGGACTGAAGCAGGATTCCAACCTGCCCTATACTACATAGCTACCACAGGGGTCTGTAGCAGGATACCTACCTCCCCTATACTAAAAGCTACCACAGGGACTGTAGCAGGATACCTACCTCCCCTATACTACATAGCTACCACAGGGGTCAGTAGCAGGATTCCAACCTCCCATTTACTACATAGCTATCACAGGGGTCTGTAGCAGAATACCTACCTCCCCTAAACTACATAGCTACCACAGGGGTCTGTAGCAGGATACCTACCTCCCCTATTCTACATAGCTACCACAGGGGACTGAAGCAGGATACCTACCTCCCCTATACTACATAGCTTCCACAGGGGACTGAAGCAGGATACCTACCTCCCCTATACTACATAGCTTCCACAGGGGACTGTAGCAGGATACCTACCTCCCCTATACTACATAGCTACCACAGGGGTCAGTAGCAGGATTCCAACCTTCCATTTACTACATAGCTATCACAGGGGTCTGTAGCAGGATACCTACCTCCCCTATTCTACATAGCTACCACAGGGGACTGAAGCAGGATACCTACCTCCCCTATACTACATAGCTACCACAGGGACTGTAGCAGGATACCTACCTCCCCTATATTACATAGCTACCACAGGTACTGTAGCAGGATCCCTACCTCCACTATACTACATAACTACCACAGGTGTCTGTAGCAGGATCCCTGCCTCCCCTATACTACATAGCTACTACAGGGGTCTGTAGCAGGATCCCTTCCTCCCCTATACTACATAGCCATCACAGGGGTCTGTAGCAGGATACCTACCTCCCCTATACTACATAGCTACCACAGGGGTCTGTAGCAGGATCCCTACCTCCCCTTTACTACATAGCTACCATAGGGGTCAGTAACAGGATACCTACCCCCTATACTACATAGCTATCACAGGGGTCTGAAGCAGGATCCCAACCTCCCCTTTATTACATAGCTACCACAGGGGTAAGTAGCAGGATCCCAGCATCCCCTTTATTGCATAGCTACCCCAGGGGACTGTAGCAGCATCCCAACATCTCCTCTATTGCATAGCTACCACAGGGGACTGTAACAGGATGCCCCCCTCCCCTTTACTACATAGCTACCCCAGGGGACTGTAGCAGCATCCCAACATCTCCTCTATTGCATAGCTACCACAGGGGACTGTAACAGGATGCCCACCTCCCCTTTACTACATACCTACCACAGGGGACTGTAGCAGGATGCCCACCCCCCCTTTACTACATAGCTACCACAGGGGCCTGTAGCAGGATATCTACATTCCCTTGACTACATAGCTACCACAGGGGACTGTACCAGGCTGCCCACCTCCCCTTTACTACATAGCTACCCCAGGGGACTGTAGCAGGATCCCAACCTCCCCTTTATTACATAGCTACCACAGGGACTGTAGCCGAATCCCTACCTCCCCTATATTACATACCTACCACAGGTACTGTAGCAGGATCCCTACCTCCCCTTTACTACAGAGCTACCATAGGGGTCAGTAACAGGATCCCTACCCCCTATACTACATAGCTATCACAGGGACTGTAGCAGGATACCTACCTCCCCTATACTACATAGCCACCACAGGGTCTGTAGCAGGATACCTTCCTCCCCTATACTACATAGCTATTCCACTATACTACATAACTACCACAGGTGTCTGTAGCAGGATCCCTACCCCCCCTATACAACAGAGCTACCACAGGGGACTGAAGCAGGATACCTACCTCCCCTATACTACATAGCTCAGGATTCCAACCTCCCATTTACTACATAGCTATCACAGGGGTCTGGAGCAGGATATCTACCGTCCCTTTATTACATAGCTACAACAGGGGACTGTAGCAGGATTCCAACATCCCCTTTACTACATAGCTATCACAGGGGTCTGTAGCAGGAGACCTACCTCCCCTATACTACATAGCCACCACAGGGTCTGTAGCAGGATACCTTCCTCCCCTATACTACATAGCTATTCCACTATACTACATAACTACCACAGGGGGCTGACATAACTACCACAGGGGTCTGTAGCAGGCTCCCTACCTCCACTATACTACATAGATACCACAGGGGTCTGTAGCAGGATTCCTACCTCCCCTATACTACATAGCCACCACAGGGGTCTGTAGCAGGATACTTGCCTCCCATATACTACATAGCTACAACAGGGGTCTGTAGCAGGATCCCTACCCCCCCTTTACTACATAACGACCATAGGGGGCAGTAACAGGATACCTACCCCCTATACTACTTAGCTATCACAGGGGTCTGAAGCAGGATACCTACCTCCCCTATACTACATAGCCACCACAGGGTCTGTAGCAGGATACCTTCCTCCCCTATACTACATAGCTACTACAGGGGTCTGTAGCAGGATCCCAACCTCACTTTTATCATAGCTACCACAGGGACTGTAGCAGTATCCCAACCTCACTTTTATTACATAGCTACCACAGGGACTGTAGCAGTATCCCAACCTCACTTTTATTACATAGCAACCACAGGGACTGTAGCAGGATCCCAACCTCCCCTTTATTGCATAGCTACCAAAGGGGACTGTAGCAGGATCCCAACATCCCCTTTATTGTAAGCTACCACAGGGGACTGTAGCAGGATCCCAACCTCACTTTTATCATAGCTACCACAGGGACTGTAGCAGTATCCCAACCTCACTTTTATTACATAGCAACCACAGGGACTGTAGCAGGATCCCAACCTCACTTTTATTACATAGCAACCACAGGGACTGTAGCAGGATCCCAACCTCCCCTTTATTACATAGCTACCACAGGGACTGTAGCAGTATCCCAACCTCACTTTTATTACATAGCAACCACAGGGACTGTAGCAGGATCCCAACCTCCCCTTTATTACATAGCTACCACAGGGGTCTGTAGCAGGATTCCAACATCCCCTTTACTACATAGCTATCACAGGGGTCTGTAGCAGGATATCTACCGTCCCTTTATTACATAGCTACAACAGGGGACTATAGCAGGATTCCCCCGATACATACTTCCTCTATATTACATAGTTACCACAGGGGTAAAATAAACCACCAAAATGCATCAAGTTCCTAGCGACTGTCCCACGTAGGCCTCTAACCCGTGAACCAAGGTGGAGGGCTAGTGATCGCAAACGGTCAGACCGCCTTAATCACTCGGCCACCGCGGCCCCCACGGCCCCACAGGGGACTGTAACATGATCTACGTCTCATGTACATCCCATAGCCATTTATCCGATATTTGTGTTAGGTTTTTCCAGCCAATACTTCCGTTTGATTTCTATTGTAATACATGAATTAAAAAGAATTGAGCTTACATCAAACTCCGTCTTCATCAAATTAAGGTTTTTTTTCTTGATTTAATTGTATATCTGCAAAGTTCAATAATATAAAATTCAATATTTATAATGCAAAAAACAAAACTCGAAAACATCATGTTCTTGTGATGGTATTTAATATAGAAAAATAACAACCCAATCAACCTGTTTCACTATAATATTTGTGACGTCATTGTTATGCAGTGTAAAATGAAATACTTTTCGATGACGCCGTAAGAGATATTGATCAAAAACATAATTGCTACAAAGCGATATATTAATTAAATTACATTGGTAGATCTTACATATTTTGAGACGAGAGAAAAGTACATCTGAAAAAGTCCGAATTTCCAGGGGGAAAATAAACCCTCTGGATCCGCCACTGGTCATCTATATATATTCAGTGTCTTTTTGATTTGTGCACATGGTTGCGGTGTTCTCACGACAAGAACCTCTCCCAATCAATTTTGGGGAATTTTTTTCCCCAAAAGAGAAGAATGCCTACATGTGTCACTAATCCGCGGGCGCAAATACCTTATGTAGACATTATTTTAATGACACCCCCCTAAAATGTAATAAAAAAATTCCCACAACAGTCACGTGACTCTTTTGAATGGATGAATCAGTGAGTGTGCGCTACTGCACACTGCAAGCAATACATTGTAGAATGGTATATAATGACAGTCATGTACTGTCAAATACAAAAAAGAACACCGTTATAATTAACACATTATGTAAATGCATTACTTACAAACATGTACGACATCGTATTAAGTATAGGCTAACGTTTCTAAGGCAGACAGTGTAGTAATCACAACACTTTGGTTTCTTTTGTGTACAGTGGAACCTCGTTAGTCCGACCATTTTTGTTTCTGTGTACACCGGGACCTCGACAGTTCGAATAATACGACTTTTCTTTTAGTATAACCTCGTTGTCCGTTTACGCTAGATTCCTCGTAATTTAGAACCTCCCGAGTCCGGCCACTTTGGTTTCTGTGTACACCGGGACAGCCATAGTTTGAACAATACGAATTATCTTTTAGTGGAACCTTGTTGTCCATTTACGTTATATTCCTCGTAATTTAGAACCTCGCTGGTCCGGTCACTTTGGTTTCTGTATAAAGCAGAACCTCTTCAGTCAGGACGTGAAGGTTTCTTTGTATTTAAAATTGTGCTGGTCTAGACACGTTTCTGAACAAAAACGTCCAAAAATTACTCTCTGAGAATCCGAGTTTGAATCAACAATATCTTTTTTCGTATATTGATAAAAATGTTACTCAAGGGGGTCAGTTGCCTCTGAAATTCCTTTAGCTGCCAATTCATCTTCTACACGTTTCAGGTACGAGGGATCCGGGTAACCGAATCTATTAAAAAATAACAAAATATATCATTATACCTCATTTCAATAACACCATGTCTGATTAAATAAGACCGTCCATCACTAAAGCTAGAACTAGTTTGGTAGTGACTTTGGTATATAATCATTGTCGAAAGTAGTATAACGAGGCCTTGACCTCTGATCTATGACGAAACTAAATTCGGTAGCTCCTTTATCTTTAATCAATGTCGGAACCAGTTTGAGGAGGGCCGTAATCTCTGATCATTTTTGTGACTAGTTTGAGGAGGGACTTGGCCTCTGATCAATATCGTAACTAATTTGAGGATTTACTTGTAAAAAAAACTTAAAGGGGAGAATATAAAGATCCTCGCTGTTGTAATGAGATCAGTATGTCAATTTTGGTCACTGAAGTGTCTATTAAGCAGATGGCACGAAAAAAAACCACTCTGCATCTCTCCAAATGCCCCACATTAGTCGCCTCAAACATTCATTAAGTTATGATAAAGCAGGTATATTCTTTCCACAATCGGCTGTCATTAACCTGTCAGATTAGTCTCATTTCGTAGAATTGAATTAAACAGCAATGTATTACCATTTCGATTTTCATGCAGATATACACCCCTCGAAAAAGAGCCGGAATCACCTGTACTAAATATTCATTGAAATTAAATCACAGATATTTCTATTTTATGGATACCTTTCAGGACCACCATGCATCCGGGTCTTGTGGTGAATATCATTCCATGTAACAACGTCTTCGCGCCCTGTAGTCCTGGAACTCCCGATGGTGAAGGTCAACTTCTGCTCAAAACTTTTTCGCAACAAGCGATGCACTTTCTGACCTTCTTGGTTGTCGGGTAAAAAAGCCTCACGATTGGTCCCCCTGTAATTTCTTCCTGGGTTTGGATGTTTTTTCTTAGATATGAAATAGAAACATGCATTATAAATATGTGACCGGCTTCACAAGACCTCTGCAGTTGTGACGACTTAAACAAAAATGTCTTTTGTATCGATATAGGGGTTATACCGATATTCGTACTGTAATGATATTCCCGTTGTACTGTACCGATATTTGTACTGAAACGATAATCCTATTACACCAATATTCTTACTATAACGTACCGACAATCGTACTGTACCGATAATCCTATCGTACCAATATACCTAGAGAACCAATACTCAAACTTTATCGTTGATTTTAAAGTATCGATATCCCTGCTATATCGATAAACGTACTGTACCGATATTTGGACTGAAACGATAACCATATTGTACATATATTCTTACTGTTCCGATATTTCTACAGTGCCAACAACCTTTCTGCACCGATAATTCTATTGGACGATATTCATACTGTATCGATAATCCTTCGGAGCGATAATCTCATTGTATTGATAATCTTAATATAAAGATATTTCTGCTGTACCGATTTACTATATCGATATTCGTACTGAACCGATATTCTGACTGTACAGATAATCGTACTGAACCGAAATTCTGACTGTACCGATATTCATACTGTATCGATATACTATATCGATATTTGCACTGTACCAATATTCTGACTGTATAGATACTCGTACTGAACCGATATTCTGACTGTACAGATAATCGTACTTAACCGAAATTCTGACTTACCGATATTCATACTGTATCGATATACTATATCGATATTTGCACTGTACAAATATTCTGACTGTACAGATAATCGTACTGAACCGAAATTCTGACTGTACCGATATTTATACTGTATCGATATACTATATTGATATTCGCACTGTACCAGGAAATCGTACTGAACCGATATTAATACCATGTAAATATTCCTTCTGTACCGATAACCCTTCAGAGTGAGTGTTCCAATGCTACTGTACCGATTTTACCAATAAGACTTATCTACCGAAATTCCTACTGTACAGATATTGTAGTTTTCTTTTTTATGCTTCTCGGAAAGAATAATTACGGATTGACAAATGCTCCAATAAAGAGAATTTTAACATTGCACATGAATCAGACTTACATCTTGTATGCCATCAGGGAATGCGTAGTAAATATGGATGATACCACATCCATCAAACCCGGGTAGGGACTCCTTTCGGAACACCTCGACCATACAACCCTCTGGCTGGATTCCTCGGACGATACCGTAGACAATGTTACATACTGGACATGCTGGTTTGACGACGAAGGTTTGTTTGATACACGTCAGACAAAAAACGTGATGGCATTGGTTTAACTCCACCCTTTCCTTCAATTCAATCTTGTCAATACATATTGGGCATTGTTCCTCATGTAAGACACTTTTTACCATCTCTTGTTTTACCGAATATCTCTCAATGAACGATAAAACACCCTTTTCAAAATGATCTTTGCCTGTTTTGCTTTTACCCACTCGGACATCGGGTGTTTTTGTCACTTCCGGTGTTTGGCAAAAAGGCAGTCGCTTAGCAACAGTTTCAATAGTTTTGACAGTGGAACGATCGGGATGAACGATGTAAATGGTCTGGAGCCAAATCTTGTCGGTTGATTTTTGGGAAAAGTCCAGAATCTGGTTGCAAATGAGGTCGATGACGAAACTCGTTGGAGCACCGTTTCGTCCTGTGGATTGAAAATATATTCATTGACAATCTCCTTTACATAATAATTATTAAGTGAGCTATAATTGAGCGCCAAGATACTGACAGCTTATACATAAAAAATGACAGAGAAGAAACAAACAAAACGTGTTCAGAGAGAAAAAAGATAGTATAGATGAAATTAACAACAGTGTTCCGAGAGTGAAAAGTGAAATTGGCCAGACGCGGATTCAAACCCTTGACCTCCAATCACAAATACTGGAAAAGGGGGCATTTTCGCGTTGTTTAAATGGTCATTAGCGCGAAAATATTCACATTCTTATTTATCTATTTTATTGAGATTTACGAGATTATATGTAAATCAGCTGTAAATAGCATATTTAGCCTCCAAGAACCATTACCAACGTGAAAATTTCAACTCGGCGTTCAGTTTAAAAAGTTACAATGCGAACGTTCCCACACACGAAAATTTCCCTTTTTACATTATATAGCTGTGAAATATAGTGAAATATATCTATTTGCGCATCAAACGAGTGATATCTGCGAGGTCCAACTATCACCTACGTGTAAGTGTGGTATTGCTTTGATTGATTATCTTCAATTGTTCTTTAAATGCAATTTATAAATCTTGCAACACATGTCTCATTATTACTCTGTACCAATGTGCGAGTTTGCCTCACGAAAATTTGGCCCGTATAATAATGGACACAACAATGACAAGACGACGTTGATGACCGATAAAACTTCGTGTTTCCATAGCAACAAAAATGGCGCAGATATGTTCGGAACCCATCCCTGTTTCATTTTGCCAGTTTGATCAATGGAAAACAACCGATGATCTGAGTTCCAGCCAAAATTGAGTTCTGTCCTCTGGGGCAATTCAGCATTACGTATTATCACACTGAGAAATAGGCTGTATCACTATAGTACAATACAAAATAAATAATAAAAATAATAATCTTTATCACAAACCTGTTGAATCTTGTTATAGTGATACAAGCAATTTTCAGACCATGAAATACAACGTTCTGTATTGCACATGTGCAATACGGAATGTTGTATTTACCTATAGCCGGAACTACTTTTTTATGGGAATCCCCTTGTCATGGCGAACTGAAAAGTTCCCGGTATTTGCAAAAAATATCAAAGTTTATAAAATCTTTGTATCGATCTCTACCAAAGACGGAAGGTATGTGATAAAAGCAAGACTTGTGTTTTTCTAACGAATCAGAAAGCACTCATTTATTGCGCGGACGTATAAATTCACGAGTGCGCGGAGCGCACGAGTGAATATATATTCGTCCGCGCAATAAACTCGTGCTTTCTGATTCGTTAGAAAAACACAAGTGTGTGGTCTTGCATATTTATTTAACGTCGTGTACAATTGTCAACAATAAAATAAGCTCTGAAGAGCTTTTATTACGACGCCGCTACATGTACAAATACACCAGATATCAACAAGATGTAATACAAAGACTTACCTGTGCCTAGCAAAGGAATGGCCATCGACCTAAACCCCATACAGTCGACTCTCTTCAATAATCTGCAAATGAGTTTAGTATAGTTTCTACACCATGTTTCCTGGTCGAATTCTTGAAGTCTTGGTATGTTGACATGCACTACATTTTTACACTTCAGATTGCCTGCTCCAGGCGTAAACATAAAGTGCCATTCTTTCAAACCACCAATGGCAAAACATGCCATTTCTTTATGCTGTTGATACCGTTCACCTCCCTTCTTCATCAGCTGTTTGGCCACCATGCCATATCCCTGGAGTACAGTATCCTCACTTGACACGACAACATCCACTTCTAATTCTGTTATCTCACATTTAGTGGGATTCACGAATATGTGACATGGAGGATGTTTAGAATTATTTCCGCCGTGATCGTCTGGCTTAGCAGCTTTTCTAGAATGATTGTCGCTCAAAGATTGAGTAGGTGGGCTCGACGGCGAGTTTGGATCTCTTGATGAAGCATTTTCTTGTTCTGTCCTTCCTCTCAAGTTTGCATCTGAAGGCTTTGAAAAAGTCGTTTGCTGTTTCGATTCATGCTTTGCAGTCATGGAGCTTGTATCCTTAGCTGCATTTGAGCTTCGTGCGTGTAGGTCACTCAAAGGCTTTGATTGCGATGTTTGGCTAGACGAAAATTTCACTTCTCCTGAGCTAGCATCTCCATTTCCCGACCCTTTACTTGAAGGCTTAAGTTGACGACCACAGTTTGTAGAAGACAGAACGTGATCATCGCTGGAATTGACAAGACCTTTCGAATTTTCTTTCTCATCATCAACCGATGCTCTAACTTTAGATTTCGTATCGACGGATGTAGATGCCTGTCTGAGTTCCGTTCTCTTACCTTGTTCTTTCTCCGATGTGGTATTTGATAAGTCAGTCACGGTGCCAGTCGCATCATCTCCAGAAACTATTCCAGTCCTATTCATCTTCGGTTTGGATTCTTTCGGGGTCGAGTCTTGTTCTTTCACAAGAACACGCACGCTTTTGTCGCTATCAGACATCCTGCTCTTCGTCTTCGAATCCTTCACCATAGGGGATGCTTCAACTGAAGGTCCATTCCCATTTTCCGGATTAGATGCCGAAGTTGCAGTAGCTGAAGATACATGTCGTTGTTCTTCGTGAGATTCAAGTTTTTCTGTATGATCCGGTTCTTGAACTGGATTTGATCCATGAATGGCTAGGGATGCTCTGCTATCCTGATTCTTCGGGTGGTGGCATGTTTTGGACTTATTTATGGTATCCGATCTTGTAGTTTCATGTCCAGTAACAACCGTGGATTTACTTCCCGATACATTTTCTCTAGGAATGTTGGTTTTGTCTCTAACAGTGGATCCTGTAGTTTGTTGATCATTACTATCAGTTTCAGAGTTATCACTAGGTTTTCCACTTGTTCCTTTCTTCTTACTCACCACTTTAGCAAGCAAAGATTCTTTCTTCTTGTGAACACTCTTCCCCATTTCCTTTCCTGAGGTGGGCCTTGTGCTTGACATAATGATCAGATGAAAATCACTGTTAAATGAAATAAAAAGGAAATAATTTGTTAACACCAGCTGGAATACGTACAAAAGTTCAGATTTTTACTCAATATATTTGACAATAAATTGATGCAATAATATAATTCGTTTCAGGTATCTTATATTTTACAAACCTTTAAAAGGACACAAACCGGTACCAGAAATGCAATTATGTTTAATATTATCTTCAATAAGATTCATCAGCTTGGAAATATGGGATCAAAGTTTAACTTTCTACACAAACAATGTACATTTTATTACGTACATTGTTTAATGAAGAAAGTAAAACTTTGATATAAAGTACACTAATATTTAAGTACAAAAGCCTGTTGCCCAATTTCTTTGTATCTAATATCTGAACAATAAATATTCTGAAATGAAACTTATACGTAGGTACAACTACAAGTTATATGTATGTGTATATTATTAAAGTAGGTAAAGATATATTTTATATGCGATACATATTTATTTAAAGTGTAGGTTATGATATAATATTTCTATTCACGAATGCGATTCGATTTCTATATTCATACAACTAATATATATTTTAATTTGGTACAGATATATTACAAATATAGGTAATGAATGTATATAACTTTTCAAATAATAAGCATGTTCTTTTCCATAATTATTATCTAGGAAAAGATATATGCAACAATACGTACCTTTGTATAGAGGAAGTTGGAACTTGTGCAAGTCTATACAATTCTTTGTATACTATACTGAATAAACTAGAATAGATATCTCAGCAACCACCTGACGATTTCAATACCATTTCAAATAAAATAGTTTTACTTGTTTGTGTCTTAATTTCTATTACTTAAGGGGTAGATTATGTCATTTGTGCATAGCAACGACGAGGAAGATAATCCCTGAAATTAATTTGCATAATAGGTCATGGATAAGTCAGTTTTATATTTTCACCTGATATAGTTTTCACATTATCAAATGATATCGTGATACATCGTTTATGATTAAACTACATACAAAAACATTTAAAAACTATAAATTGTTGGTTAAACATTTAAAAAGAACATACTGTACATACCTAATTAGCACCAACAAACAACCCGCCCCGTCTAAACTAACAGTATAATCTAGTTTCGGTTTTACAACGGTTATATAGTATTATGTAAACTTCCGGTTTCTACACCTGCTTATGTTTATTTATATACATGTATGTATACAATCACATATGTATGGAACTATATTGCACTTAAGGGAAACATCAAACGAAATATAAACTCATAGTATACATATAGTAGTACACACAGAAATCAAGTTATATAGAGTTACGTATTGTGAACGCTTACAGGGGCTTGTTACCCTGTATCTGCCGTCACGATCACTGCGGTTGGAGACAAAATCATTGTTGTGTGTCCCAAAACTTCGTACTGTGACCTGTGGAAACCGGTGCTTTGGGAGGGTTTCGGCCACATTTTGGAATAGCTTTATTAGAAAGTCAAATACCCTGGCTAAATTCAAGAAGGACATACAAACTCACCTCTTCACGTCTGTATTTAAGGCTCTTTGTACAGACGTCATGTACATGTGCGCATTGAGATGATTGTTTTCTTGCTTAATGTATAATGGTGATTTTAAGTCGTTTTTGTTTAACAATTATAACTAATATACTGTTATCCATAGGTTGTAAAGCGTTTTAGAGTAATTTTACAAATCATATAGGGCGCTATGCAAATTTTGTATATTATAATTATTATTATTATTATTAAACACACATACCTTACTCAGAGGAATGACGTTTGATCAGGACAAAATAGTTGATACTTCCTTGTAGTTAAGACGTATAATATATACGCCTCTGCTTGTAGTATTGAACAATTTCTTTAATAAACGTTGAAGGGAGACAACTGTTCCTATCCTATTTGATTTCCATATGTTATTTAGTGAAGTAACAACACCTCATCAATGTTTCATATTTAACATCATCGTTGAAACGTCTAAAATAGCAATGAGTTGATGTCATGAAATGATGGTGAAAGAAAATCAAAAAATCTTGTTTAGATGATTTGTCGAATTTATTGCGTGACAAAATGTGTTAAGTTGTTAACCTGTTCTCCTTAAAAAATATGTTAAAAAATAACCAAGTTTTTACTGTTGTAATGCGTGGGTGGAGTAACATTTTCACATAAAATTGATTACATTCCGCACGACCCTTTATAACAGAATTACAGAAATCCCTTGGTGCAAAACAGCAATGTAGTTGTTGTAACAATGACTATGTAATCTGTAAGACTGTTGTCATTAGCAACAGGAAGGTTAATCACATAATACACATCCAGTGATTACACAAAAAGTAAAATTGATAATTAAAACTTAAATAATAGTATCTAAAGATTGTTGATTGGCAAACTTGGTTCTGCTCTTCTTCTTCTGCAATATGATCTTGGCGATCGTTACATTGGGAATAGTGTTTCTATATGACATTCTTTGTTTTTTCCTTTGAAACCACATACCTAATGCATTGCTGACATTCACAGCTCCATGATTCGCTTTCTTATATTAGTAGCTCTATGTAGCATTCTCTTGACCGAGATGTGTGTATTTGTGTGGGTTGTTTTTTCTTCAATGGACACGAAATATTACCTTCTGCTGTTTGGTAGCTTTCGTTTAACCAACAAGGGTCATATGAACAATAGAAATTTACTCATAAATTTCATATTGTGTTTGAAAAGTCTATTTACATAGGATACTTTTCAAAAGAAATATTCCTTAAAAGTCACATATTGCGATGCATTTGACAGGGTTATAGTCATTAGATGTTTGAATGTTCGAAAATTTATAGAAATAAAAAAACAATATTTTTTTTTCGAAAACTACAAAAACTACAGGGTCGACCTCAGGACTTTTAAATTGCAAGAAACCCTCTTTAATACACAAGTGTGAAGTCAAATATCAGGTCAACAACCGTATTGTTTGATATCAAAAACACAGCGTGGTCGATAAAATTGATGACATAACCCTTCTTCAGATCCGTCGTGTCATTCAGAACCCGTAAGATGATGGTTACACTGTCTGAGACATACTTGAAAATTAAGAATTCGGTAACATTTTGTGACGTTTCGTTAAACCCAACAGTAAAACGCATTATGAAATAATGCTGTCCTCTGTCTAGCAATTCGCCATCCTCTTTGTATTTTCTTAAGACCGCAAATTCACCCACGCAGTCACTCGGTCAATCAGATTGTGGAGGATTTGTATATATTCAGCTTTTTTTAATTTACAACAATGATGAAACAAGTTTTTTCAACTTATATTAATCACTCTTGTTGGCCCTGATTTAAGCGCGCGGGGGGTCTTAATGTGGGATGAAACCGGGATACCGAGCAGGTGACCGAAAACCTTGTCACGCCCGATTGGGGAATCGAACCCCGACCGCCTTGGTGAAAGGCAAGTGCGCTATCCACTGCGCCACCCGACAAACTAATATGAGGATATTTTTCCAGTGATGTAGTCTAGTAATCGTATGACACATTTTCCTAATATCCTATTTTTATCATGTGTACAACATGTTCAGTGTTACACGCTTACCTTTCTGATTCACCAGGGCCCAGAGTCATGAAACCGTTTTCATGCTATAGCATGGATTCTGTGCTCATATCAGCTCCCTTGTTGCTCACTTAAACCATCCGACACAGTAAAAAAATGTCAAGTGCAAACATTTTAAACAGCTTTCTGTTTGAGTTCTCTTCAAAATTCTTCCAACCAATGGACAAAATGTGATTTTTCATTTATTTATCACTGGAACAAGAAATTGGGCTTGAGCACATAATCTGAATTTAAGCATAAGAACAACGTCATGAATACGGGCCCTGTTGTCGGAGGTTCAAGTTTATCCTGTCATGTAAATTTGTTACTAGGTTAAAATCATTTTATTTCGCGGTGTCAAAATTTCGAATTGTCTTGAACAAATAGACAGGGTCGTCATTGTCCTGTAAACAATAAACTTGTATCAGAATTCACCTATGACAGGCAAGTACTCGTGACGCTTCATTCTTGTGTTGCTTCGTCGGTTTGACATTAAATTAGTATCGCGTTTATGTTTATTTTTGAACGCCGGGTATTTTTTTTTTAACTATTTGGAACACCGCTTGTAACACGACTCCGTAGGACGATAACACCGCAACTTATATTACTGCAAACCAATAAATACATGACTCAACATCTATCAGTATGTTACAGTTACTGTGTAAGCTACGCTAAGTATATACCTTATTTATACAGCGCTCTTTAATTTGAAATATATCATTATTAGTAAGACATCTTCTGAATTCGTAATTTCTTAATTGATTTACTTTTAAAGCATAAACGGCATTCGGTTAAAACACATTACGAATACAGACCACTCCTTGGTGTAAGCTCAATATAAGCTGACCCACTTTCATGTTCTGCGCTATATCTCCGCAGAATTTTAACTGCCAGAACGAAGAAAATCTGGGCTAATTAGATAATAAATACGTGTGAATATCCATTATAACATATTGGTACTATGTTTTCAGCCGCAACGCATCTTACTTCAACGTAAGTTAATTATTCGTATGACCAGCGTGTTTATGATTCATTCTGTGCAAAACACATCTATTTTTACGCGGTTATGCATTTACCCAAAATACAACATGACAGAATCATTACCTTTAATTGTTTTAATCATAGTTAACCTTACTGTCAAGCATAAGCAAAAAAATATACAACAACACTTTACAAACCTACATTTATCCTATCTTAAATACCCTACAAAAACTGTCAGTGGCTCTTCGGGGTTACCCGTACGACTCTATTTATATATAAATGAACTGGTAGACTTCTTCCAACCAATAGTTAAAACTGGTATACTTCTAGGTCGTAGGTCGGTGTTTTTTCTCCGCAAACTCCACCACGAAAACATGGCACGTCCTTAATGACCATAGCTGTCAAAAGGGCGTAAAACACAAACAAACCCAACCCAAACCAACCAATTCGTCCAACGTATATTCAAGCAAGATGAAACATTGATACATATACAACATATTTATAAAAACCTTAATGTCGATACGAAGTTAAAAGTAACACCGGAGATAATGTGAACGACAAGATGAACTCAAATGCAACAGGAGAGAAGAAACCGGAAGTTCTATCTTAATTAGAATGGTATATGTCATGCTGTCTCCGTGGAAAGCTTGCGTATCCTCAAAGGCGTAAGTCTTGAGTAATAATAAATGTAGACCTGTTAGCAGTATCTTAAAAAATACCGACTTTGTACCCCATTTCCCTCGTCTTGTTTAAAAGTTCTAAATGGAACTGAACGTTCTTATGGGAAACACATATAAATTAAATATAACATTTTTTTATTAATGATTTTTTTTTCTTTTTTTTCTTTGTTAAAAACCCCCCATTAAAACTTACTCGATCATGAGAATACAGAGAGTTTTTAAAAATCCCAATGCAAGGCTAATCCATATACAAAAAATTATCTATAATATACAAGTGTGAAACCAAATATCAGTCCAACAACCGTAATCTCCGTTATCATAAACAGAGCCTTGTCGATGAAGTTTGTGACTTCGCCTTTTTCCGGATCCGTCAAGTCATTTCGAAAGTGTTCTTTCTTTATGTCTTCTTCCAATTCATTGTTGACGTTCTGTTCAGATGCATTCTCAGCAGGTGGTTTAATAGGGTACGTCTTCTCTTTACCTTTCCTTTTCTTAATTCGGAATACAAGTCGCCTCAACCATTTTGGAAACTGTTTTACATCCTTCTTTGCATGGCAGCTGAGAGTAAATATTGTCAGTATTATCAGCAGACAGCTAAACAACATTGCAACCAGGAGAAAGTAGGAAATCCCCGCCATTGGCTCAGATACCTTCGGCATGTTGTCTCCAATGAGCGTCATATAAACAGCCAGTGCCAAGAACATGGTGATGGTGTATGATATCCTCTCGCCAGAAGAGGCGGGAAGAAGAAACACAAAAGGGTTCAGTACACAAATAATATATACTGGCACGGTGGTCGATATAATAAAGTATGTCGACTTTCTTGTTAAAACTATGGTGAATGAGAGAGCATTGACAGCATGACCAAAGCCCTTATATCTTTCCACTGAAGTGCTGTCAACATTCCACTCGCCATTCTCATTGAAATACTCCATTTGGAAAGTCGGCTGTATGTATGCAAGTTGAATTTCGGTATACATGTATCCCCAGGGTAAGATAATCAATGAGCACCTCTGTGTGTCACTAGGGAAACGAGTCATGTCCACCGTACAGGAAGATTTGATCATCTTTCCAGAACTAGCCACGATCAAACCACTACTAAATATTCTTGCATCAAAATCTTGGAAACTAAACTTTTCCATGTCTGCTGAGGATGAAATGAGGAAAATGTTTGGCGTCCATATCTTAGAGGAATTGACCATCATGTCAATAATACCACCGTAATCAGAGGGTCGCCATTCCAATCTATAGTCTGTCCACAGCATGTTCATTCCACCACTCAAGCTTATTGATCCGGACACTTCATTAACATCAAGAATGAAGAGAAGAAAAAAACTAGTATTGACTGTTACGGTATTATCGAGATTCTTAGCGGGGCGTATCTCTCTACTGTAGTTTGCGAAAACGTCGTCCATAAGTCGAGTCAGATCCTCTAATGTGCCCGAAGCAACCACGTAACGTATCACGTGACTATAAAAAATTGTTAGCAGAACAAAGAAGAGTTTAATCCCTTTCATCCTCAAATTTTATAAGTTATCCTCCCTTGTTATCTTTCGTTATCCCCGATCGCGACGACCAGTCGTTACTCAATTTCTTTTGTCAATCTACGAAGAACCCACTTCTTTTATGTTAAAATTGTTTTTACTTTCATGAAGAGCTCTAAAATGAAAAGAAGGAAATGGTTGAGTTCAAACAGTAATGGCATACATGTATATTCAACATTAATCTTGATATGATATACTGCATCAATATAACAATAATGATATTGAAATCGGATTTAATTTCAGACAGTTGCTTCCTTATTTCATATCTCTAATATTTTCTTCAGTTACACAGTGGCTGATTCTGCTGGTGGACTATCATTCTCTGAGGTTGGCCATATCATTGTAGCTGGGATTTATTCTGGAATGGTTTTCTGGTTCATGAATAAATTATCTAACGTAGCCAGCAGTAATACATTTGCAGCGTTAGCAATGGTATTCACCTTTCAGGTGTGTTTACCGTTTTTGCCGGAAATTATCAGCTTTTCTCCCACCCTTCACAGGTGTGTTTACCGTTTTGGCCGGGAAAGATCAGCTTGTCACCCCGGAGGGGGAGATAGCCTCGTGCCGATTAGCAAGTACTCAAGGATGACGTCATTGAAATGTGTCACTGGAAATTGTGACGTCATCACAAGTGAAAGACGATATTAATACCCCATATGTGTGTTTGCTTACAAACATGGCACTGATGAGGCTCAAATTGACTAATGATGCAGTAAACTATTGATTTGTTTGGTTTTTCTGCGTCGGCAAAATACCTTTAAAAAACAACATATTTCGTTTCGGTATTAACTACTTAGAAAGAATGTGGTACCCTTCATGATATAAAACAAGTATTTAATATCAAATGTCTAAACATGTTTTGAAAATTGTATCTGTAAGTACTTTAAAACAAAGAATTCAAGAAGAAATGAACATTGAGACAAATGAGACGAAGAAAACAGCAAAATATTATTTTTAGGATCTGCTCTTCTGAGGTTCAAATCACAATCGAATCTTATCATGATCTAGTATAATAGATTTATTGTATCTAACATATTATTATCACTTTTAAAAGCAAACATGCATCTGAAAAATGTGTTGGAAACTAAATACTTATTCTTTTTAGATTTACTTTTTACAAACTTTTAGGGATTTTCTTTTCGATTGGGAAGCCATTTGCAAAACTATGTTTCTAAGCACAATCACATTCACAAAAAGGAATTATCGAAAATTAATTCAAAGCTTGACATGTAAAAGAAGCAAAAGAACCAAACGCAAATAAATTGGTTTCATTGTAAAAATAAATGATGTGTAAACAGAGACAGTTAGTTACGGTCAATCATGTATATATCACTAAAGAATATAAGGAACGGTCACTTACCTTATTCTAACCGTTCGGTAAACGTAATCACTTCTTTGGCATTACTTGGAATGGACCTAGTAAGCTGTGAGATATATTGCATTATCCCTTTTATTGAGATAAATTGATAGCATATGTTCAACGACTTTCCTCCGGCAGATTTTTTTCGAACGCTTTTGCTCCCCAAACCCTCTTCACCAAACTGCTCAAAGTGGTGCTGTCACAGATCATTAAGGACTTAACCACTCTCTCCCTGTCATAGTCCTTTTTATGACAATGGTCATACCAGCTCCATATTTAATCATCTTACCGTTGTGTGTTAATACATTTCGCTTGGTTTCTGGTCAATGGGTATGGTCTCTTTGATGATTTGATGAAAGAGAAAAGTATTTCCCATGATATTTTAACGCAAACAGTCAATCCTAGAGAGGAATTCGTAACATAAAATAGGAAGTTTAGACAATAAATGAGGCATGAAGGACAATTCAACAATGTTCTTATTTAATGAAAAATGAATATTAATGTGAATCAAGCGATGTATTGATAAAAGTGATTATGTCTTCTGAACCATATGCACTGCTTGGCTTATGTAATTCAGAACATAGTTTTATTTGTGTTCAATTACTAGATTTAATGAAAATATCGAGCAATGATTGTAATGATTTTTCGAATTCGATATAATTAGGTGACAGACAAAAAACCATTCTAGCGTTGTATTCTCCAGCATCACTTTTACATGTACATGTGTTTCCGGTCCATTGGCGCATGAGCACCACATACATGCGTATAACTTAATGCCCTAATATATACACATTTATAACAACTTAGAACGACTCGAATAAAACAATACTAAAGAAGAATAATGTAAACTCATTTGATAATATCAAAATAGAGGTGGTCGGTAGGCGCAGTGGATAGCGCTATCGCCTTTCACCAAGGCGACAGGGGTTCGATTCCCAGATCGGACGTGAAAAGGAATGGGTCACCTGCCCGCCCACATGGGTTTTCTCCGGGTACTCCGGTTTCTCCCACCATTAAGACGCACTGCGCGCTAATTTCAGAGTCAACAAGAGTGATTAATATAAGTTGAAATAACTTGTTTCATAATTGTTATAAAATTTTATTATTTTAAAGTTGAGGAACCTTTTAGACTTGCTTTTTGATACAAATGGGACACCAGTATTAACACACAAGGTTAGTACAAAATCTATAACCTCTGCATAAAACAATTGGACCCATGGATGCTTCGAAACGAAAATACAGGTTAACGTATTTTTGTCACTCTTTATTTCGATAATTAAAATGACACAAGATTTATAAATGGAATTAAAAGAGCATACATAATCCAACGCCAGCAATGACAGATACATTGTCATCATATCAAATCACCTTGCTTTTTACTCGCACTCAGTATTATCTCGGTCAATTTACATTTACGACTGACTTCACAGAACTTCAGACATGGTTTTAGTTTAAGATATCCTGAATTATGTACATTACAGACGGGGATCAATGATCTACATGTAGTTGTGTCTGTTTACAAGGAATCTGATCAATTATTCGTTGTCTGCAAATACTGTATCATTGTTAGCAAAGACGAAAAAATATCTTATCACTCATTTGTATTTAAATCATTCCGGATACCTTCAATGATAAAGATGTGGACCGAATCTTTTGTTTTGGACTGTGTGACTTCAAAAGATATTTTTTTTCTCAATATTGGATCGATGGCTCTTCTATTTGCCCAACCAGACCATTGTCAATAATCAGTAATCGATAAACATTTGTAGTCCTACCTTTCATTATTTTTTTTCTCTCTTTATTCGCCCTCCGCAAGCCTCTTCTCGTTTGAATTAAATAATAAAATAGTTGAAAACCAAATGTTTGCTCAGTTTTTGATAATCATCTGACTGTATCTGCACTTTCTAAAGAATCGTTGACCTGTACCTTGCTGCTTTATAACGCAGCAATAATCAAACGTAATTGGATACCATACTTGTAATTATATTTGCTTTGAAATTATTAGCTATAAAGTGCTTTCAATTACGATAAAAAAAACCTGGTAACAACAAGTATTTCATCAGATTGTAAAATTGCGAAAAAGCAATTTCAAATTGATTATTTAATGCACGGCGAAGATAAGAATGGCATCTAATCGTTATACATGTTAATAGAAAATTAGTATTGGCAAACACACAAGCATACACGTTAAAACCATATTGTTAATTAAAGAAATACTTCCCATAAAATTTATACATATATTATTTATATTATATTAATTATATATATATATTTTTTTATAAAATTCTAGTATGCTCCTCCCTCTTAATATATTTCTCTTTCTTCAAATTAAATGTATTTTTTTTTCGATATTTGTTAATAAATTACATATCGTACTGTAAATGTTGGAATTTTCGATTTGAAATGTTCGCGTTTTGACCCTTTAAACTGATCACGATGTGAAAACATTCGCTTTAGGCTATGTATTCCGTCTTTGCGTATAGCAGAGTTATCCTCTCTTGTGAGCAGGTATTGATTGTCACGTCATTGGTTTGTGTGTGAAAATTACGTCGTTTTCTCAAAAATTGATGACGTTACTCTCACAAACAAATGACGTAACAACCAATACCTGCTCGCAAGTGCAGATAACTCTGCAATACGAAAAGACGGAATAATATATCATTTCTGTGTGTTGAAGACAGATAAATCTCAATCCGAGGGTATGCTGTTCGAAAGTTAGCAATATGTTTTACCGAGTGCTCAACTTCACAACCTCACCCCGAGGATATTTTAACTCTATTATAAAGAATAATTCTTCCACATTTACTACCGTAATATGTAATGGTAAACCCAGTGCTTAGCGCCATCATCATAGCGCATCAAATATGTGGTAAAATTGACGACGTTAAAATTGGTTACCCTGGCTACGCTGCATAAAATTAAGATGCGACGGTGACGTTTTCTGAATAATAACGTGCATGACCTGTCTTTTCTCTAGGTATGTAAAGACAGAATTTTCTCTTACCTTAGACAGGCGTATCCACACTTTTACCAGTGAGAGATATTATTGTGTTACCCTAGGTTTGAAACAGGGGGATTCCCCAATCATAACTCTGACATGACGTCACGGCAACAATGAATTGAGCCTGTAAAGTTAGCATTGCCTTATCCTCATGACAGGTTCAGCAGGGTAAGAGCAAAAATTATAATTTACCCCCTTGAGGTGATATGGGGAATCTCAACCCTCGGGAAAAGATTATTGAATCGCCAAACACGAGGCGAAGAACCTTCCCATCCACCTTTGAAATGTGGCAGCAAATAATGGCATAGCTCTGCTGTGTTTTGAGACTTTAGGTTGTAGAGCGGAGGCAGTGAAATGGATACTCGCAATAGAATAATCACGATATAACATTACAAATATGAAACTCAATAAGACCACTTCAATGAATAAGGTGAACCACCGGGGGAATCGACTTTTTGATATATTTGTGTGCTTTTCAAAAAGCTCTGTCCCTGTGCCTTGAATTATTTGACACCAATATCATCTGATGTGAGGCGAAATAACAATCCCTTTTCATAGTCACGCTCTGTGGTATATCTGACAAACTAACGAGTCGTCTGCAGAGGGTCCAGA